GAGGTCACATCCAGGTCAAGTCGTTATGTAAGGCAAAGGAAAGAGAGAAGCTAGAAAAATTACATTCATGATGTTTTTATTGGATTGAAGACAGAATGATTCAGGAAGTAATATGAAGATTAGACCATCATGTATTAGTTTGTTAGGAATATCTCGCTCCTGTTTCAGCACTCATCAACACAGTAAGGCACCCGATGTTGTTTTCAAATATCAAGAAGTTGCAGGCAAACTCCTACTCACCAAAAATTGGCTATATTGGGCGCTGTTTTTTTTTTTTTTTTAAACTTCTCTTTATTGGGTTTTTTTCTTCTTCAAATACAGATTTAAAAGAATCTGAGACATGTTTATTCATACCTCAAACCAACACAAAAAACTAAATGATAATAAATAAATTAAAAGATAAGATATAAAAAACATAAGTAAAAACAAATAAAATAATAATAAGATAAAAAAAAATAAAAAAAGAGAGATTTAAATAGTAATAATAATACAACTTGGAGGATGTCAAGTGCTCTGGATTTTACTAAATTCTTTTTTTTTCGTGGGGTTGTTTTTGTTATAGTAGTCTATAAATGGCTGCCATATTGAGAAAAACACATTTATCTTTCCTCTCAGGGTAAATTTTATTTTTTCTAACTGCAAACTGGAGGATTTTTTGGTCTCCATATTGGACGCTGTTTTTGTGCAGTTTACAACATGTGTAAGAGTTTTCCTGTAAATTATGATGGATTTATATGCTCCTATGAACCTGTCTTATAAAATAGATTAAAGGTCATTAAAATGACAGATATTATATCATTTTTAAAGATGTGGTATTGAAATAAGTATCAAAGTATCAAACATTTTAACAACATTACAACACAAACTGTCTTCATGTTCTTAAAAAGCTTCTTCATTCTCGGCTCCAGATTCGGATTGCAAAGACATGAAGGATCTCTATAAACTATTTACGTAAGCATTCCCGTTGTTTTGGCTCCTGTTTTATTAATCTTAATTCATGATGTCACACTGCGATGAGGAGCGTGCACAGTGGATTAATTATATCTTAATTATCCCAGAGCTGGCCCGGTGCAGAGCTGTGGATCCTCTTTCAGCCTCGCAGCCTCGATGCTGAGGGGAACTCAGCGATGAGCTCATTGTTGTGAGAGCCAAACAGCGGCCTCCCCCGGGGGGTTAACATGAGAACCCCCCGAGGCTATGATCACGGACAGAGGAAAGTGACGCTGATGTCTCTCGGGGGGTTTACACGCTGCAGTGGAGTGTCTCCGGGCAGAATTTACAGATGAGGTATTCAACTGGAAAATCACAAACTTTCCCTCCAACAGATTTAGAAAATACCTGAATTTATTACCCTGCAGGATACTTTTTTTCTGTAACGTTTGAAGCACATCCAAGTCACACATAATCAGTCTTACAAATCATCAGTGGAACTAACTTTGGTACACATGCACAAAACTCTTGAAAATTTCAGAGTGAGCTATGTGTGACCGCAAACAGCCCAACAATTGTCTTTGTAAACTTTGCACATTTTGAGCCCCTGCTGTGGTTTGAAGATTGACAGCACTCGGGGGGGCCCCCTACTGACCTGGGGCCCCTTTAACTTTTGCCTGCCTTGCCTGTTGACTATCAGCATCTCTGGACCGGCTGAGCACATCAACTTGGTCAAAGTTAAACAAAGGTGAAGTTTGAATTTTAAAATTGTGTTTTAGTGAATTTTTAGATCGTTGCTGAAACAAGTTCTAAACTCACATCGTTTTCAGAATCATGAAACCATTCAGTGATGTGTTCGGGTCAATGTGAAGTAAAGATGATAACTCAAAACCACTTTGAGTTGATTTGAAGAGCTCAGGTAAACCCAACCTATAAGTTAAACTCCTCCTTAACATCACAGAGCGAGCAGATGTCCTCGCTGTGGGGGGGGTCGAGCATTCAGGTGTTTCCCTTTAATCCCATCCAATCTGTACATTACATATTCCTCTATTTAGCAGCTTTTGTTTTTATAAAACATGTGAAATATTAACTTTTGTTGGGATTGAAACTCAACAAACACAGGAGCTGGTCTTAAAGGGGGTTTATTTTAGAAAAAGAAAAGCAGTATTGGTGGGTGAAAGAGGTTGTGGACGGGCAGGAAACACGGGGGGAAAAGAGACAAGTGCTTGGAAAGAATCTTCAAGAAACAAGCTAAAAAAAATTGAGGGAAGCATTTAACATTTTTAGAGAACAAAGAGTAAGACATGTTTCCTAGCATGCAGGTTAGCCTGTATGACCCTGGTATAATGTATTATTTATCCTGTCTGTCAGAGGGGCACTGTGTCCTGATTCATGCACACTGGGTCGCAGTATCAGACACCTTAAGTGACATCATCGTATCAAACGACGTTTAACACAGGTAGGAGGTAAAACAGAAAATCTATTGGAGAAATCAAAATATCTGAATATTTCTGCGCTGGTGTTGCAGGAGGAGTAAAAAGCGATGTGAGAACAGACACACGATGTGCTG